GAGAGGGGGAGAGAGAGGGAGAGAGACGGAGAGAGAGGGAGAGAGAGGGAGAGAGAGAGAGGGAGAGGAAGAGGGAGCGGGAGAGGAAGAGGGAGGAGGGAGACGGGGGGAGAACGGGCTCAGAAGGCAACAGACTTCCCTACTTTGCTCCGAATGATCCTGCAGCTGTTTTTGAATTTTCCTGTTGCATTTCACGAAGTCGTTTGGCACACGCTGCTCCAAGGTTATTTCGACCTGTGCTCCTGTCTGAAGAAATACCTAACCATCCAAAAAAATAGGGAGATCGTGCACTGATGCACAGCATGGGGGTGTCGGCCCTGAGGCAACTGACACAGGGACACAAACAAAAAAGGTGCATTCTGGCAGATACTTCAAGAGAACTAGGTGTTTTATGTCCCCAGTATGTTTAATTGCTTCGGCTTCCACCTGTCTGAAAACGCCATAAGCATCAAAGCAGTCTCTGAGAGTGAATAGGGACCAGCGCCTCAACCTGCGGTCCCGCGCCGTATGGCCCAGGGAAAGGTGAGCCCTGGCAGAGCTCGGACAAACAACCCGGGAGGCTTGTGCAGAAGCTTGGCAGATCAAGTCAAAAACCTTCTTAGGGCAGCACTGGATTCCTGAACTCTGGCAGGGCTATGTCTATGCAGCATGTGGTGCATGCATGCGTATGTCATCATGCAGTTTTGCTGATGCACTGCCTCCGACTCCGAGTGGCGCTGATCCTCGAAAGCAAAGGCCCCGTCTGACCTTTGTCGCATTCAGATAATTGTCATGCGTCTGGCTGCAGAACATGCACGAGAGCAAGGCTGGGCACCCGTACCCTGGCTCCCCACACGAGTCGCTCCCCGAAGGCTGTGAAGAGTTGAGGCGCTCTGAAGCCGTGGAAAGCTCCGACATTGGGGAAGGCAAGTGCCAGGGCCTCGTCAAGTCCACAGTAGGCAGCCAAGCAGCACTCCAGCTTTCTCATTGCGGCCCTGCGGCGAGGAACCCCGGCTTCCTCCACGACCAGGGCCGAGCCCAACACTCGCACCACTGCCACCTCACGAGATGAGAGAAGCGACGGAAGCGCTTTTTTCAGCGGGGAACCGCCTCGCAGCGGGCCGGAAGCCGGTCGCCCCGAGCCGTGGCTCGGCCCAGGTGCTGTGGAGGCCAAGGATCCTGGCGGATGGCCACAACCAGGCTAGGCCTCGTCCGCCTCCGTTGAAGCTCCAGCTCAGCAGGGCCCGGGCCGTGCGGCGAAGTCGTTGGAGCTGTTCCTGTGGGCTCAGTGGGCTCCCAGTAAACTCCAAGCACCTTCACAACAGTTCCACCAGCTCAGCACGGTCCTCCCAAGTTCGGCCGCTGCGCCCCAGAAAGACGCAGATCGCTGGGGAGGTTCTGCGGAAATGGCTGACGTGGTTTCCAAGTGCTCTACCGAACGGCCTGAACTCCTCCGCACCTTCAGCAGGGGCGATGCCACAGTGCGCTGCACTGCGTGCCGGCCGGTTGGGGTGGAGCCTGCAGCACACACGATGAGCAGAAGAAGTTTGAGGATGCCACCGACCTGTAGAAGAGGCTGAAGAACAGAAGGAAGCTCCGGCGCTTGCCTCGACGGTGCGCATCGTGTTTTCTGCATGTCACCGGGTGCATCACCAGCCTTGGGCGGGCTCGCCCCACCAAACTCTGCGGCCTCTGCTCAGGACTTCATGGGCCATGGCCGTGAAGGTGTGAACAAAAGAGGATGAAAGAGGGAAGCTGTGATCGGCCTCACTGGTCTCCGTTGAGCTGCGCCGCTTGCGCTCTTCCGCCTGCCGAAAGTAGCCGGAAGGTGCGGGACCCTGCGTCGAGGTCGTCGTCGTCGTCGTGCCAGCGTTGTCAGGCCGCTATCGTCATCATCACACCATGCACTCCTATGAGATGCAAATGTTCTTCTGCATCAGCCGCAACAACCACCATTGCCGCCCCCACAACTACCGACACCGGCACCACCACCATCACCACCACTGCCGACGACAACAACAACAACAGCAGCAACAACAACAACAACACGTATATCATATATCTGCTTTTTGATTGTACCAACAAGGTACAAACAAAAACTGCTGCCCCATCAACCCATATATTTGCTTTTTGTTTGTGCATTAGGTAGAAACAAAAACAGGAGCCCCGTCATGTTGTTTTACCCCCGCCCCACCCCCCCACCCCCCGCCCCGCCCCCAACCACAACAACGACAACAACAACAACACCAACAACAACACAGTGGCTATGGTGGTTTACAGGGTTTCTCAATCGATTTCCAAGGATCTTCACTCGATCTCCAAGGATGCTTAAAGGACTCCAGGTTTGTCAGAGCGCATACAGCAGGTGTCCGGGATTCACGGGCGTCTAAGCTCAAGAACTTGCAGTTTTCTGGTTTTGAAATTTTGGGGTCTAGGTTTGGGCTTCAGCTGCGGCCTGTAGCGCCTAAAGCCCACAGCATTGAGATCTTTCTAAATCCCCTTTCAAACACAACAAAAACCCTTTAAAACCATCCTAAACAAAATCAAAACCCTTCAAAATCCCACTGATTAAAGCCATTCAAAATCCCCACGGAAGCCTCAATATCACGGAAAACCCTGCAAAATCCGTCCAAATCCTTTTCGAAGGGTGCACTGTTGTCTGGGCTTAAGAACGTTTCGAGATTTTGGGATTTCGGTGTGGGCTTCAGCTCTGGGCTGCAGCGCCTAAACCCCACGCTTTCCACAGCATTGAGATCTTTCTAAACCCTCGTCCAAAACCCATTTAAAACCCTTTGAAACCATTCTAAACACCATCAGAAACCCTTTCCAACCCCCACCTTCAAAATTCCATTGAAACCCTTCGAAAGTTAGCCAAAACTCCTACTAGCTTACTAGGGCACTAAGGTGCAGTGGCCCCTTTTTGGTCGTAGCGCAGACTGCGCCCGGCCGGGCACACCGCCGGCTGCCGGTGATGGCGTGCGCACTTCTGCGCCCGCCCGGCCCCTACCAAATAGCAAGATCAAGAAGCTTCTCAGGAGCCCCATGACATGCGAAGTCGATGTCGACTGCCGCCTCGCCGAAGGCCGGCATGACCTCATCATGGCTTGGCATGCTTGGCATGGGTTTGCATGGCATGGCTTGGCTTGGCTTGTCTTGGCTTGTCTTGGCATGGCATGGCTTGGTTTGACTTGGCATGTGTTGTGTTGCTTGGCATGGCATGGCTTGGCATGGCATGGCTTGGTTTGACTTGGCATGTTTTGTGTTGCTTGGCATGGCATGGCATGGCTTGGCTTGGCCTGACTTGTTGGTTGCTTTTGGCATGGTTTGTCTTGGCATGGCATGGCTTGGTTGGTTGCTTGCTTGGTTGGTCGCTTGGTCGCTTGGTCGCTTGGACACTTGGTCGCTTGCTCGCTTGCTTGCTTGTTTGATTGCTTGCTTGCTTGCTTGCTTGCTTGCTTGCTTGATGGCTTGCTTGCTGGGTTGGTTGGTTGGTCGGTTGGTTGGTTGGGTTGATGCTTGACTTCTGAGGCCACGATGAGTTCATCATGGCATCAGTCATCCAGTGTGGATCCCCAGATTCGTTCGTGCGGCAACACATGCCAAGGCAACGCATGCCAAGCAAGCTCATGCCAGCCCAGTTCATGTCAAGACATGTGCACTTCATGCCACGGCACGTCCTTTGGCTGGCTGTCCTGAGCGGCAGCTGTCAGGTCCCGGCCGGTGCTGAGCACCACGCAGACGACTCCGATGATGTTGAGGCCTGCTGTCATCCAGTGGTGGTTCCAGGGGTGTTTTCGGGCTGTGTTGTGGGGTCGAGGGGTTCGGTTTTCCTTGCAAATCCCCTTTTCTTATGTCCCCTTTTGGCGCCCATAGGCGGCTTGCTGTGTCAGGCTGAACATGTCTTCCGACTGCATGCAAAACACTCCAGACAGCCACCTGACGACTGCGAAATCCTGCCGCCACAGCTTCAGCTCTTAGCCTTAGCCCCGCCTCTGTCTGGATGCCGGCTGCGAAGAAGAAGCTCGGCAAGGCAAATTCCCTGCCGGGACAGCGGTGGTCACTTTGGCTGGATTTCATGAGAGAGTATGCTGGCGGCAAGTATTGGCTGCTTTTGTGGTTGAGCAGCACGTTGTGTCTCAGGGTCACACAGGTGGCCCGCCTAAAAACTTCCGACTTCCAGCTGAAGAAAGCCAAGGTATGGATTGGAAGTTTCAAGAAACATGCTGGCACGTTCAAACCACTGCTCCCATCCGTGTTGAAGGTCATCAAGAAGATCAAACGTTCAGGCGTGAAGTCTTCCTGCTGTGATTACAAATGGCCTCGTGAGGGGCTCCTCTTCCCCTCGCGGAAGGGCTCGAGATTGCCTCATATGAGCAAAGATACCGTTGGAGCATGCATTCGACGCTTTCGAAAAAGCTTTGTCCAGCAAGCGGCAGTTCCCAGACCTCTGCGAACCGCAGGCGAAAGCAATTCGCAGCCACTCAGGTCGCCGCCATTGTGTTTCGAAGATGTCGTCGGCGGACATGTCACCGAACCTCATCATGGGCTTTGCGCAGATCGAGAGCTACAGAGTCTTCAAGCAGTATGTCGACATGGACACAGAGACACTTAGCACTGTGATGAACCAAGCAGACCGAAAGCTGAAGCTAGGCAAGGCTTGAACTGCAGCAACAATGCTGTCGAGCTTTAGGCTAACGACTCGAGATTCTGGCTTGAAAAGAGAGCTTTTCCGGAAGCACCTGGCGGTTCTAGAAGCCCCAGTAGCGCGGTGCATCTCAATCATAGAGACTCTCTTGGCAGGCCTCGTCGTGCCTGCATGGCCTGTCGATGACCAGTGGCTGCTGGCCTCGGAAGGCATTGAGTTTCAGGGTTTGTTTTGGGGGCAGGCTTGGGGCTTGCAGTTAGCTGATCTGTTGCTGTGTTTGCAGCACTCAAGGCACTCAGGCGGTTCGGTGAGACTTCGCTGCCCGGGAGTCCGTCTCACCTTCCTCCGCCATCCTCTTGTGTAGCGCCTCCCACTGCTGCCTGTACCACCAGCTCCACTCACATTCATTCCGGATCTCCTCCTCCTTCTGTGCCTTGTAGGCCTCGGTCTCGGAGCCCAGGTTGTCCAGCTCCTCGGCGAGGGAACGCACCTCGGCGGTCTTCGCCTCGAGCTCATCTTCTTTCTTCTGTTTGTAGAGCTGCATCAAGTGGTCGTTGTCTTCCAGCTCTCTTACCAGGGCCCTGATCTCATCGCTCTTTCCGTGCAGCTTGTCTTGGAGTGCAGCCTTATCAGCCTGGAGGGCCCTGATCTCATCGCTCTTTCCCAGCAGCTGGTGTCGGAGTGCAGCCTTGTCATCCTCGAGGGCCGTGACCTCATCGCTTTTTTCCTGCAGCTGTACCTCGAGTGCAGCCATGTCAAGTCCACCCGTCTCATCCTCGAGGGCCGTGAGCTCATCGCACTTTTCGCGCAGCTGGTCCTGGAGTGCAGCCATCTCAGTTACTGCCCAGCGCACATAGCCTTGGAACTCACTGTCGTTGGCATTGTACTCTGCCTGCAAGGTTTCATTCTCCTGGCGGAGCTTCTGAGCCTCGGCCTTCCACTGCTGAGCCTCGCCCTTGAACTGGTCCAGCTCCTCGCTCAGAGACTGACAGGTGGCCGTGATCGCCTCCAACTGATCATCTGACCTGTCCATGGCTTTTTCAAGCTGCCATCTCAGAGCAGATTCACGGGTCAGAGACTCAGCCAGCTCCAGAGAGTGCTGATGGTAGAGCAACTCGAGCTGCTCAGCCAGCTGCTCTGCCGTAGCAGGCCCTGCGGCGGTGGCAGCACCTCTCGACGAGGAGGCACTGCTGGCGGCCGTGGCGGCGAGCCTCCCGGAGGAGGCACTGCTGGGGGCTTCGGAGGCAACTCTGCCATGGTTTTGGGCCAGTGGCTGTCTCATGCATTCAGGAAATCTTCAGAGCAGCAGCTGCATGACTCAGGACACTGGGCACTCTGAGCGTCTCTTGTCACTTCATCCTTCACCGCAGAACCCGAACCCCTGCCGGGTGCCCGACACCTTGGCCCAAAAAAAAGGCGGGCACGAGCACGAACACGAGAAAATACGAAAGTTCAAAGGCCAAGAAGCAGAGCCCCGCAAACATTAAACCGAGAAAATCAAAACCAAAACAAAAAGATTGGGGACCAATCAATACCCGCTGGCTTTCGCTGAGAGATGGTCTAATCCTTAAAGCCTAACCCGTAAGTCCTAAACCCTAAACCCTAGACCCCGAAACCCTAAACCCTCAATCCCAAACCCTAAACCCCTAAACCCTAACCCCTAAACCTGAAAGCCTTACCCCTAAATTTCCTAAATCCTAAATCCTAAACCCCGAAACCCCAACCCCTAAGCCCCTAAACCCCTGAACCCTAAACCCCTAAACCTTAAACCCTAAACCCTATGCCCCGAAGCTTAAACCGTAAACAACAAAGCTTAGTGGAGCAAGATTTAGGGGTTTGGGGTTTAACTCCTGTATCCTAAACCGCAAATCCCTAAACCGTGAGGCCCTGAACCATAAACCGCTAACAATGGAAACAGGCAGGAAACAACCTCAGCATCGCCAGCAGCATGATCATCATCGTCGACGTCGGCGTCGTCGTCGTCGGCATCGTCCATCGTCCATCGTCCATCATCATCACCATCATCGACATCATCACCATCATCATCATCATCATGACATTATTGTTACTCCTCTTATTCTGCATCGTCACCTTCATTCTCATTCTCGGCAGTGGACAGATTACATCTGGATTACGCAATAATGCCACATGCGGCCGCCGCAAAAAAAAGCGGCAAATCTGAACATGTCGCCGTCCATGCCTTCGTCACGCCGCCGCAAGAGGCATGGACATCCCCATCCCCCCATCCGATCCCTCCAAGCAGAAAGCAAAACACTGCATACCAAATCCGCACTGCCATGGACGTCATCACCCCTGCATCCCCAGCTCCCGAGCTGCATGCAAACAAGCAAACGCATTTCGTTTGCCGGGAGCCTCTTGTTTGGACAGCTTCGGGAAGCAAAAACCAATAACACTGCATACTGCATACCTAATCGCACTGACGTGGACACCCTCACCCCCATCCCCCTGTCCCCCACGCTTGCATTGAAGCACAAGAAAAACACCGCATGCTGAATGCGCACTGCCATGGACGTCATCACCGCCCCCTGCACTGAAGCAACAAGACACACACTGCATACTATAATCCGCAATGCCATCGGCCACCCCCCATCCTCACCCAGCAAACGCACTCGCTGCCGGCAACAGCAACAATCGCATCATTCATTGTGCAGCCCCATCGCCATCGCCACCTGTTGTTGACACTCTTTCCCTTCCTTCCCCTTCCAAAACTCAAAGCAAAGCTTCCTCCCCCTACCGTCTAGGTCCTCGAAGCCTGGAACGCTCACCCCAAGTCCTGGCAAATCCAGGAGGAGCCTCCATGAAGGAGCTGAAGAATCGCTCGGACATCTTGTCGATTGGTGGGCGATAGCTCTCCGCCTTTACAATTCACTACCACGCAAAGTACTCTCAAACTGCCAGCTTCCTGGCACTATTGTGTCACCGCATGGAAAACAGCAGCGCTCTGTAGCAACGGCGCTATCGGCGGGCCGCTGCAGCATCTAGGCAGCCAACCGGATTGTCATCTGGCAGCGGGATACCTGACAGCACGTGCATGCCCCTCTCCTACGGCATCGCTGACAGCAACATGCCAGCTAAGACAGAACAACCTCTCTTCAAAACTGTCTGACATCTCGTCTGCATCACAGAAATCTGAACGAAGCTCTCGACAAGGTCCAGGCCCATGCAGAGATGGCCCCAGAGTCCACGCAAAGCTGCCTGCGGAACCTTCTCATCCTCGGATCCATAAAGCCAGCAACTGCAGCGTCATCACGATTTAGGGCAGAAGTTAAGAGCAAGGGGTTAGGGCAAATGGTTTCCAGGGGCATGGACTCATTCCATCTTGCCACACCAACTGAAGGAACTCCAGTGCACAACACTAGCTTGCAACAGCCATGTCTGCAGTTGTCAAAGCCAACGTCTACTCTCTCTGTGGGCATCACCAACTGCAGACAGGTCTGACTGGGTGGCAGACCGAGCCGGCTCCTCGCATCAGCACCGCTCGTACACGGACGTTCATGAGGACTCAAACAAATTGGAGTGTTGTAGAATCCCTGCTCGAAAGCTAACCAATGCGCAAAAGAGCAACGGATCCTATCCACGTCTCTGCTCGTCCTGTCAGTTCGGCGCTCTTGCTTTGGCCTCGGAGCGTGCAACAGTCTCAACTGTAGCTCAGCTGCAGCTGCAATGCCGACGTCTGTGCAACTGGTCACCGAGTGGCCACTGTCCCGCGTGGTCGCAGGAGCGCTCCGAGTGTGTTCCCCTTCCAGGCCTCTGTGGCGCAGATTGTGGGCAAAAGCACCTCTGATAATCCACGAAGCACAGCTCTGCGATGCTCCGCGTTCCACGGCCTGGGCCCATCTTCTTCTCGTCCCAGGCACGTGCTGAGCCACCTCCCGTGCCCTCCTGCATGGTTTCATGTGGAAGTATCCGGAGGCTACCTCTACATCCAGACCATTCTTGCACATGTTGCGAGCCCCGTTTTGTGTGTGGAAGTGTGTTTGGTGGTGTCACCAATGTCGCGCTGAAAGGCCCCCAAGTCACACCCCCAATTGAGAAGTGACAGGCTAGTCGCAAAGCCCGCAAAGGTATAACTGCAGAAGTACACCACCACAAGTTCACAGCATGATGTAGAAAAGACTAGCTGCCGGTTGGAGATTTCGCTGTTGGACTGCTTTCCAGCCTCACCACTTCCTGGAACAGGTCTCAGCTTCGCAGATGGCAGCAGAGGAACCACTCCTGACCTGGAAGACCCACACAACATGAGATGCAATGAGATGAAGACTCTCAGGCAAGAACGCGACTCGCCAGCTGTAGCTGCGAAAGCTGAGGGCAGGGCGCCGGCGCCTCCAGCCGACCTCGGAACAGCTGCATTGCTTCCATCTACGATCGAGACTTGAGAGCTCCCGCTCCCTCTGAGAACGGAGCTGGGTGGCACCGCCTTGGTAAGTCGCTTCGAGCGGTTTTTGCCTCTTGGAGCCAAGCTCTTAGGCCGATGCCTGCTTAAAGGAGGGCACAGGATGGTCCGGAGCTGGTCGCCATTCGGGGTCGTAGTGAAAGCCCATGATGAAGGGATGTCCAGAGGCCTCTGAACATCTGTGACCCGTAGCGGCCAAAAAAGCATCAAAGCCGTGCGGTCATGGTGCCTGCCTGCATCGGTGTCCAGCGATTGTCCGGGTTCAGCTGCAGAAGGCCTGCCGGGCTGAGCCGGGTCGTGGTAGAGGAAAACGGAAGCTTGCTGCAAGCGGTTGAACTTCTGCCAGAAGGCGCCTGTGAGAAACTGCAGGAATGACAGCCGCCGATCTTGCTCCTGCTCGAGCTTGAGAAGGCAACTGCAAACCCGACCCTCAGTAAAGTCAACCCGTCGAAAGCAGAATGCCTCATTGGCTAACTGATTTACAACATCACATCCTTCGAAGGCACTTCGGCCTCCTTCAAGGTGCGGCGGGCCAAATTGCTGCGGAAGGGCACCATGTTCACCATCTCTTCAAGCCTCGGAGGCCCGAGAAAGGAGCCTACAGTGACAACTGAACCCCGGACGAGCCCCGGACGAGCAGAAGTTGAAGTACTTCTTTGGAACTGGCTCTTTCTTGTGCTCGTCGCGCTCGTATTCCTCCTCGCGGCAAAATTTGCAGGAAGAGGAGGAAGGGAACACAACCTATGAAGCTACGAAAAGAAGATCGGATCCCAGAGTAGTGCAGATAGGGATGTAACTTGCGTAATTGTACAGAGCTTTTTCATTCTGTCAGTTTCACTTTGTGTACCTGTGGAGGTGCTGATTCTGTGGCCCACCTTGCAGTTCACTACGCAGTTCGAACTGTGATTCTCCTTCTCTGTTTGCTGCCTCTCAGACTTCCAGCGTCCTTTGTTTTCAATCGCCAGGCGATGCGGCGCTTTGACTTCTGCCTTCACAGGGGAAGTGAAGTTGAGATTTCAAGAGCAAACGACGCTCGGTCGCTTCGCTCTGTTGCCAGATGGTGTGGCCGCCTTGGGAGCTTTCGCTTGAGCTCTGCATGCGCACGGGCTGCATCGCTGAAGCCTGGCATGCACCGGCGGCGCCTAACGTGACAGCCTGAACTTAGCCTGCAGCTGCATGATGCTGAAGCCTGGCATGCATCGGCTCGTGATGCTCGGGACGTGGCTCGACGTTTCCCTCTCGCTGGTTGCCTTGCGCATTCCACGCTCAAGCATCCCGTTCTACACCTCAAACATCCTCAACCCAATCGCAGTCACAAGATCCTTAACCACACCTCAGACAACTTTGAGGACTAAGGACGCGTCGTCCCAGCAACCACTACAGCATTGACAGCACCGCAAGTCTTAAGGAACCTTCCTTGCAGCCCACAGAAGGAAACCGCGGAACCCGACCATGTGCACGCGAGCTAATGCTTGGCTTGGCCTCTGCGGTGTCTCTCTCGTCTCCCAGGCGGCGCCCTCCCTGGATGCTGCCGTCCTCCAAGGACGGGAGCCGGCAGCAAAGATGAAATAGGTCTTGTGCGCGAGCGACTGGTAGGCTTTTTATGCATTCATCCCGATTCGGAGCGTGACAGTTACGGAGAGGGCAGTGCGGCTCCTGGGTCTCCAAAGCAGCTGAGGTTGCCGTCGAGGCTTCAGCGGTCGCAGACGGCTCAGGAGCACCCTCCTTGCAATGCATCCGGGAAGAAGGAAAGCTTTAGCATGCTTTGGCCTGACATGGCCTGACCTCACTGCATTGCAAGACACTTTGGGACCGAGCGGCAATTGCAGACGGCTTCTCCGTCTCCATGTTACCCATGCCTCGCTCGACTTTTCGCAGGGCTGCACTCGGTCCTCCCTGGCAAGCCGATCCCCCATCCTGCCTAAGCGATGCTTTAACAGGTCGAGGAAGCTGGCACTTTTGGTTGCCGCCTTTCATGGCAGAAGTCTTCCGCTGAGTACTGCTGAGAGGCCCTTGCCAAATCTAGAAAGGCAGAAAACCACATGCAGGCATGCACGATCTGCCTTGCGAGTAGAGATTAGAGGTGGTGGGTTCGCATCCTTCATGGACGGATCGGTCGTCCACTGGCCTGCTCATGCCGGGATGCTGGACATTACAGCCATCAAGTCAGCGTGGGGCATGCAATCCACCGGTGCGAGTTGGACGACATCGGGGTCCCTGCGCACGGAAATCTGGGGCCTTCAGGAGGCGTGGCAGAAGCCGAATCCGGCGCAAAGTAGTACCAACCGCCAGTGTCGATGCAGGCATTGATCTTCCACCTTGACTGATGGCTGATTGAAGCTGTAATTCAAAAACTTGACCAAATGTTCTTGAAGTCATAAAACTACCGCAACTCCGGAATGCTGTGTCGAAGCTCTTCGACTCTAAGGGCAGACAAGCTTCGACTCGTCGAAGTAGATAATGGCATTGCCGCCGATTTTCTTGTACCTTGGCTCGGGGGCAAAATCCAACGTGAAATTGGCAACCTAAGCGTGGCAGCTGGCTGTACCACCCAAAGAGATGATCATGCAACAACAGACTCCCAAACCCCCGCCGCTCCGACCGACAGACACAGGCACAGGCAGAAAAGGGTTCAATTAACCCTAAACCCTAAACCCTAAAATCCCTAAACCCTAAGCTTCTCGCAAGCCCGAGCGTACTGGCACCTCATGAAAACAGACGCAATACCAAAGCAAATGCAACCCCCATCTATGCATGTCTCTGCACACTACATTGCTGCCGTGGAGCATTGGCTTGTCGTTGTGCTCGCCAACCTCCACTCTGTCCGTTTCCAAGTGATTTCCGATAGTCAGGGCTATACAGAGTGCACGAAAGAGGTTGGAGTGCCGAACGACGCATCACAGCCACTTTGAAATGGCACCTCAAAGTTCACGGGCTCTACATCTAAAACATTCTAAAATTATGCCCTAGTTCTGCCTGGTGGACGTAATTAGCCAAGGCCGTGACCCAAGTGTGCGATACCAGCAGTGTAGCCACTCAAGCTTTTCGACGTGTTCAACTTGTGCAAGGATATGCCGAGAGCCAACCACTGACTCTTCTCTCAGATATGCTGCCGACCAGTACATCAAGAAAACCGCATTGCTCTCCACAAGTATTCATGCATTTCCAAAAACATGTTTCCGACTCCTTGCTCAAGCAGGTATGCCATGCATATTGTCCGCGGATTCGGAGCAAACTGTAGCAAGAAAGTCATCAGTGACAAGCCTTGCGGTACTCACCATTGCAAATGGCACCTTAGAGCAAAGAACGAGTGTTCTGTGCACATATGGCTGCTCAAGAGCATGGCAGCAGCAAGGTTCAGACCATCACCACCGGCGCCAGAAACGACACAGAATGAGTCCTGGTCTTGCTCCGGTTTTTGTCTACCCTTAGCGCACACCCTGCTTCCCCAAGCACGCGCCTCAGAAGCCTTGGGACTTGTGGCTTTCTGTTCGGGGCTCTGCGTCTCTGACGGTGGCTCCTCGGGTCAGCAACGGTCTAGAAGAGAGGCCCGAATGGCCAGGAATACACTCTGATCAACTACTTCCGCAGGCAGCGCCTTCGGATCTTCATCGCCCGCTGCACCTGCAGCCGCTGCTTCTGAAGCACTGGATTGATGCCAAGTGCGGCATTGCCACTTCATAATGCTTCCACAAGCAACACATCACCTCAAATTTATCCCTTTCACGTCACAGCCGGGCCTAAAGAGCTCGACTGTGAGGCATCTCCATCACGAGGATCCTGAGCCTGCATGTGAGCATGGATGCTATCCTTGCCAACGGTGCTTCGACATCAGTCACCCCCCTACAGCACTGCCAGCGCTCCTGGGAATGGTCTCCGCTGCTGGCAGCACCTGCAAGTTGCCGCGCAGCTAGCATGTTGAAGTTGAACGGACAGCTGTCCGCATATAGGAGCTTGCCACACTGAATGGCAGTGCACGCAAATTGCCCCGCCCCACTCGCCTTCGGCTCCATCCTCCTGTTCCACCTTCGGCGGTACAGATTCCTGACCGTAGCAAGACACTGGCACCACGACATCCATGAATGTTGCTTCAGCTTGCGCACCTTCCGGAAGTATCTCCGGGTGTTGCGCCCCATGTCAAGAAGGCTCGAGGGAGGCATGCGAAGCACCTCATTGCTTGGGTCCGCTATGCTGCACGATGGTGAAAAGCGACGCCAAAAGATCACACCCACATCCATTTCTCACAGCATGTCAGGATGCAGCCTCCACAATTCTGCACACCTGCCAGCAGGCTCGGGAATGGCTTCTGTAAGTGCAAACAGTCCTTTCGGATTTCTGCTGATGTCAACCCATCGCGACCTGATTGTATTCGGAGTGCCCGGGGAAAACCGGCAGGCCAAGGAAGAGCTCGGCGCAAATGCAGCCCAGACCTGTAGTGCACGTGCCATTTAATTAGATCATTCTTTCACCTGGTGCGTGCGTGCGTGTGTGTGTGTGTGTGTGGCTTAGTGACTAAAACCTAAAATCTTGAAACATACACCCTGGTCGGGGGTAAGGTTGAGGTCTGAAGTAGTCTGAAGAATCGATGCCTAGATTCCAAGATAATAATGCGGTTCAAAGTTTTGCTTTCTGCTTCGGGGCCCGCTTTGAAAACAGCACAACATACCCTGACTGTGGGGGGAAACATCAAAACAAATGCTAAGCATCAAAAACTTGGCCCCAGAGCCGTCAAAACAACTTGACATGCATCAAAATAACTCGCATGGCAGGGTAGCTATTGATGAACTACAATTATTCAGATCCTGCGTTGGGCCAAGTTGTTGCAGAATGACAAGTTGCATCCGCCTGTTGTGGGTTTAGCCATTGGAGAGCTACAATGTGCAATCTCTGGTCTGCAACGTTGAGGAGCAATAGTAGCAATAGAAATAATGATTGCAATCGTCATGATCATATTAATGACAAAATGAATAGCAATAGTAGTAGCAATATTACTAATGGGGATAATAGTAACAGTAGAACAATAATAAACAAAAACAGTAGCAGGAGTACTCATAATAATCATCATCATATGTATGCCAATAGTAACAACAACCATCATGGTAATACTGAGTAAACGTAATGGTAAGAGCAATAACATAACACAAAAAATAGTAATACTAGACAGGTCATGATACTAGTGGTAATTTTAATTGTCGTAGCACTGTAGTAATCATAATAATCGTAATACTAATCGTACTTGTAGCACTAGGTGATATTAGAAGTAGTAGGACCAAACTGGTATCATTACGATTACCCATCCTCGCACAAATAGCTATGCTAATGATAGTACTTGACAATGGTAATGATAAAGATACTACTCATGATAACAATACTAGCAACAACAATAACACAAACAATACTAATCGTACTACCTGTGTACCGACCATGGTCATAATGGCAGTAGTAGAATGAACAAGGTTCACAAGCTCCAAATGCTGTCAATAAAGCAACATTTCCGACTGTTCACAGGCTGCCAAAGATGTAAATAACAGCAGCATGTTCATGTATTCACAAGCTGCTAGCGCTGTTAGTTCGAGCTTTTCGAGTGTTCGCAAGCTTCAAATGTTGTAAACTACAGCAGTTCAACTTGCACACACACACACACAATGCTCGTCTGATAGTGGATTGAATAGTAGCAATAATAGCAAGAGCAGTAGCAATAAAAAGGACTAACAGTAGCAGTAGTAGTAATTAGTAGTAGTAGTAGTAGTAGTCGTCGTCGTCGTCGTAGTAGTAGTAGTCGTAGTCGTAGAAGTAGTGGTAAAAGAAGTAGAAGTCGTAGTAGTAGTAGTAGTAGTAGCAGTAGAAGTAGAAGTAGAAGTAGAAGTAGAAGTAGGAGTGGAAGTAGTTGCTGTTGCTGTTGCCGTTGCCGTTGCCATTGCCATTGCCGTTGCGGCGGCTGCTGCTGCTGCTGCTGCTGACGATG